GAGGCCGGTTCATCGCCTTGAGCGGGGCCGGCTGGGAAGCGCGCAGGGGGGCGGAGAGGGGCGCGGAGCAGCCCCTGCGTGAAATCGGCCCTTTCACGGCGAGGCTGAGCGCGCTACAGCGCGGACACACGCCCCGAGGTTTTCCGAGTGGCACAGTGGGCTCGGGCTGTTTGTTATTCCGCTGTCATGCGGGACTCCCCGGCAGCTGCCCGGCGCACGGCGTTCCGCCACCGGCGGGGGCCCGGCGGGGCCAGGGCGCCTTCTCAGGGCCGGGGTCCCACCCAGGACCCCCGGCCCCGGGCTGCCAGCCTTGCCCGGGATTTGTCGCAGCGACCGAGACCCGGTTCAGCAGACGGAGGTGCTCAGAGGCTGCGGGGTGCGCTTCCCGCTATCGCAGTTAACAGGCTTTTCTAGCAGCCGCGAAAACTTACCCAAAAAAAAAAAAAAAAGGGGGGGGGGGGGAAGTTTTTTGGCCGGGTTTCTTTCAGGAAGGACTGCATGAGGTCATCTTTAGGCTCCGGATCCAGAATGGGAGTGCTCCCCGCCCTGCCCACGTCCCCCGAGCTGGTGTCGGGACGCTCGCCGGGGTCCCGGAGCTGTGATGATAGGACTCGCCCTTTCCTGGCCATCTTATCCCCGTGGGCACCAGAGAAACTCCCGTGTGATCCTTTCTGGCCGTGGCCTCGTCCTGCGGCTGTACCGTCGACTGAAGCGTGCAAGAGTGGGAAGAAGAGCCCCGGGCAGCAGCTGAGCAGCCCTGCCGCCGATTAGGCTGCCCCTGCCCGCAAGGGAGCCCGAGGGAGGCACTGGGGAGCCGCACCCGAGGCCGTGTCCTGTGGGGGTTAGCTCAGCGGGAGGGGCAGGAGTAGGAAATTAGGATAAACTAGAGGCGAATTGCAGCGGGATTAGATAGACTGTCCCCTCTCTGCCCCAGCTCTGACCGGAGGTACCGAGGAAGGAGAGTTTCACCACAGTTCCCTTGCCTGGATCCCTGCACTGTGAGCCCTCCTCTCTGTAAGTGCTTGGGGCTTGACTGATGAGGCCCAGCCTGCTCCATATTCCCCAGGGAGGATGTGCACCGGCCAGAACACTGAGCCCTTCAGTCGGGGAATCTCTGGAGAGTACCTGCCACTGTGTCACAGCTACACCACAGGTGCAAGCAAGGAGCTGACCAAGGGCCTCCACTTCCCCAAGGCTGGGGTAGAAGTTTGAGATGCTGACCATAGACATTGTGGCAAGAGCTCAGACAGCAGGGAAAGGCTTCAGCAGCACCTGTGGGGACTTCAGGGCTGGAAAGAGCAGCCGAGGGAGCATGGTGTCTTCGGCACTGCGAAGTTCCAGCAGCCCATGGCCAATGCTGCCTGTGGGCTAACACATCTGATCAGGACATGGGAGCAGATTCAACCAGGGATCCACAACCAGAGAAGTCAGTGCAGTGAGTCTGACTTCAGTCGTGAAGGCCAAGGTCAGAGAAACTCCTCAAGATGGATGTTTTCTTCTTCTGATTTTTTTTTTTTTTTAATGAAAAAAGTTAAGTAGAATTACTGTTAGTAAATAAATATCCCAATTGGAAAGCTTTTCTGGAGGGATGCTAATGCAACAGGTTACAGAAGGTCAGTAGGAGGGTCAGTCACACAAACATGATTCACATCTCTTGTGCTAACACTCATGCTTTAGCTGTGCAACCTTCCCCTTGCTGGGGGGGGCTAGCTGATCCAGAGGGTCATTAGGAGCTGTTCCATACCTGAAATCCACCCAGGACACGGGCAAATCCTCTGCCACCAAGTTATGCCAGGAGTGGCTCCATCAGGAGCTGAACACTGCCTGTCTTAGGCACTGGATGAGTGAGGGGGGAAAAAATGTTCTTCACACTTTGTGGGAGGGAAAAAAAATGGATAGAAGGAAGAAGGGGGGGGGGGCAGGCAGAAGGAAAAACCCAACACATTTTAATGTAAATTTGTCTAAATTTCAAAATGTTGAATGCTAGATGTGGAAACCCTACAAAACATCTCCTGCAAATTACAGTACATTCAACTGCCTGTGGTGCTTCTGTCACACTGACTTGGACTGCCAGGTTCAGGCTGAGCTGGTGGTATCCACCTTCTGAGATGTGTTGGGGCAAACCATTGCATCATTCCTCTTTTCCAATGTTTTTTACATGAAACATTTACTTTGAAATAAAATGAAATATTGTCTCAACTGTCCAAATGACAGTTTGTATGTGGTGATGATGATGGTGATAATGTCACAATTACCCCCCAACCCTTGAAAGACACATGCAAGCATTGATTACCACAAGATCAACTAACTTCATTTTCCTATTTTTTTTAAGGAATTGCTAAATACTGTAATGAAGAGAAATCTCACTGTTTATCATCTAAAAATGGAGGGAAATACCAATTTATTCACTGAGGTGCATATTTCCACAGATTTACACTGAGAACATATACACTCTATCAAGTGTATCTTTGCAATTTTAAAATATCTTTGAGTTTTCAGTCTTAGATTCCAGAGACTGTGATGCTTTTTCTCACTCAGCAGTTTTGCTTTCCCAGGCTGCTGCAGGCCTGTTGACTCCCTCCTGTTACAGTATGGGATGACATTGCTGAGAGGGTGGGCAGTACTTTCTGTGGAACTAACACCTCCTGCCAGAGCTTCAAGGCTGGAAAAGACCCACTGTGATTATAGAAGCAAGTTAGACATAGGTGAACTGAAGCAATTAACAGATTCCACCTCAGCAGGTTTTAGGGGAAGAGGGGACAATCCCCTCAGCCATACCCTCCATGAAGTCCCCCTGGTAAGGGGCCACAAGGAACCCAAGCCTTTGGCTCTTTGGTCTCCCCAGCCTGGCAAGTGAGAGGACTGCCACTGGGGAAACCAACATCCCCAGCCACTCAGCTGGCATGAGGGCTGCTGACCTCTGTAGTCAGCTCAGGCAGTGAAATGGTGGTGGTATGGAGCAGTGAGATTTTTTATTTGTTTTCCAAGTCCAGGCCAGAAACGTCAGTCCTGCCCTTCACTTCCTGTAAGATGTGGGTGTGCTGACTGCCCCAAGCCCTGAAGTTGGTCCAGGCTGTGGGGCAGTGCCCATACCACGCTCTCTCCATCCTACCCCAGCCCCACCCATGCACCTGGCTTCTCCTCCAAGACAGGCAGGCAGTGCGTGTGTCACTGTGCTGGGGCTGCCTCTCTCTTCAGCAGCCAGGGCAAGTCAAATTGAGACGCACCTCTGAGCTGAAGCTCCGAAGTTAGGGATAAAACACGATAACTGTAAGGATTGTTTCGGAGGTTGGAATCAAAAGTGGAAAATCCATCCAAGGAAAAGGTGAGAGAAATAACATAATGTGCAAAAGACACTCCTGCTTTGCTTATATTGTTAGCTTTATATAGACTTGTTGTCTGCCAGTACTGCAGGAACTAGGAAAAATGTTGTAAAGGGGCTCATTGGGACTGACTGCCTCCAGGTCCATCCCACTCTCACCAGCCACCTGTAACTCTGCTGCAAGGAGCTGAGGATGGGCTGCCAAAGGCAGAGGCAAGACGGGACCCGTGGCTGAGCGCTGCCCGACGCAGATTGCAGAGAACTTCAGCCATGTCTCAGCCTAATGGGTTTGCCCTCAAATCTTTTCCCTAAGCCTGGTCAAGGCGCCTAATGAAATCAACACCCAAAAAAGCTAACGCTGTGAGGGTAAAAGAAAAAATCCCTGATCTCTGCTTAACATCGACCCGTAAAATAATAAGCGGAGTTCCAGCCTGGTGAAGGGTGGACGTGCGCAGCCAGCCCCCGCGGCGAGGGAAGAGCCGGAGCTCGCAGGCCGGCGGGCCGGGAGCTGTGTGCGGGGTCCCGGCGCGCAGCCCTGCGCTCCGGCCCCGCCATCGGCGGCGCTGGGCCGGCGGCAGCCGCTTGTCCCCGGAGCGGTGCCTTCGGGCCGGCAGACGGGACAAGGCTGTCAGTCGCCAGGAGGGCGTGCCCTGGCTCGGGCTGGGAAGGAGCACAAGGCTGCTGCAGTCGGAGGACGGGCTGTATTTGCATTCCGGCCGGAGCGGAGTGCCCCCCTTCTCCGCCCCCCAGCCGTCCCGAGTCACAGGGGAACAGAAAACATGTTAGTGTTAGTAGCCGATGGCTTTTATTTTCACTCTTTACGCAGATCTGACACATATGCAGCGATGCTTTCACCGTATGAAGGACAAGGACTGCAAAGGAAAGCACCTTGCCCAGCCAGTGCACCTTCGCTGCTGCAACTGGGCTGGCACTTCAGAGGAAGGGGAAGTCGGGGGGGGGG